ATTTTCATTCATATAACCCACTAAAAAATGTCCAAGCATATGAAGATGAAACCACAGTACAACTCAAAACCTTCACACCAGAAGAAGGTGAGTTTTCTTCTTAAACACACACACACACACACACATACATACACACGCCACACACACACACACGCCACACACACACACACACATACATACACATGCCACACACACATACATACACACGCCACACACACAAACAAACACACACACACAACACTCATGCAAACAAACACGCCACACACACACACGCAAACAAACACGCCACACACAAACACCACACACACAACACACACACAAACAAACACACACACAAACACACACACACACACACGCTGTTCTTCCACAGAAGATTTCCTGATGGAAAAACACCTCCGAGCTGTTCATGTCATGGAACCTGGTGTCAGAAGTTAATAACCTACCCTCTAATTTTATCGACCTTCAAAACTTGAAAATGATAAAAAAAAAAAATTTAATCAATTTCAATTTCCTTAAAATCCATAAAGTAGTTAATTTATTATTTTTTAAAATGCATAAAGTAGCTAATTTATTAAGTACTTTATGAATTTTAAGGAGATTATAATTAAAGCAGATCAATTTATTAACTACTTTATAAATTTTAATGGAGATTAAAATTAAAGGAGATTAATTTATTAACTACTTTATGGATCCAAATTATTGACGATGGCGAAGACAACGATGTTGATGAAGATAGTAATGATAGTTTAAAATAATTATAATAATAATAATAATAATGAAATAATAATAATAATAATAAAATGACGATAGTTTTAATGTATGATATGGGCGGCGGTAACATGGAATTATAATTATAATTAAATAATATTAATAATTATAATTAAATGATATTCATAGTTATAATTAAATAATAATTATAATTATATATTATTTATAATTATCATTAAATAATATTTATAATTATAATTAAATGATATTCATAGTTATAATTATCATTAAATAATATTTATAATTATAATTAAATGATATTCATAGTTATAATTAAATAATATTTATAATTAAATATTATTTATAATTATCATTAAATAATATTTATAATTATAATTAAATGATATTCATAGTTATAATTATCATTAAATAATATTTATAATTATAATTAAATGATATTCATAGTTATAATTAAATAATATTTATAATTAAATATTATTTATAATTATCATTAAATAATATTTATAATTATAATTAAATGATATTCATAGTTATAATTATCATTAAATAATATTTATAATTATAATTAAATGATATTCTTAGTTATAATTAAATAATATTTTTAATTAAATAATATTTATAATTATAATTAAATAACATTTGTAATTATAATTAAATGATATTTATAGTTTTAATTAAATAATATTTATAATTATTATAGATAATTATGCTGATCATTTAGATAATTCTGTGACTCTGTACAAATGCGGAGTAGAGCACTACAAATTTTGCGGTATGAATGGGATCTGCTACTACTACAGCAACGACTCTAACGGTCCAATCAGAACGTGCCAGTAAGTTTTGATAATGATGGCGGTTTCGGCGCTGATGATGACGATGCTGATGAAGGTGATGATGATGATGACGGTGATAATGATGATGATTGTGGTGGTGGTGATGATGATGGTGATGTCATAGACGATAATAACGATAATGATAATGATGACGATGACGACTAAGATGATGATGATGATTGTATTAATAGTGCCGGTAATGGCAATAATATTTAATTATTAAAATTATAATTCAAAATAAATAAATAGAACGAATGAACGAATGAATGAATCAATTATGAAATAGTAAAGTAAAAAATTATAATTTAATGAGAATTAATTTAATTAAAATTAAACTCAATAAAATTAAAATTCAACCCAACGATTCCCACAGATGCAATGGTGGCTTCTTTGGAGATAACTGCGAATTCACATGGTACTATGCCAAGCGTAAGTTGTTATTATTTTTATTATTATCATTATTATTTTTATTATTGTTATTATTACTATTAGTAGTAGTAGTAGTAGTAGTAGTAGTAGTAGTAGTAGTAGTAGTAGTAGTAGTAGTAGTAGTAGTAGTAGTAGTAGTAGTAGTAGTAGTAGTAGTAAAAGTAGTAGTAGTAGTATATATTAATAATAATAATGATAACAACAATAATAATCATAAATGCTGTTAACAACAATAATAATAATTATCATTATTATCATTTATAATTATTAATTATAATTAAATCTTTAAAAAATTATATAAACCACGAAAAAGATTTTGACCGCAGTGCCCAGTTAACTCTGCTGCTATCCGTGGTCGGACTAATATTCGCTATAACCATACTTCTGGCTCTTCTCTTCGTAATATGGAGAGTCTGGAGGTGAGCTCATTATTATTATTTTAATTACTGAAAATTTATTATTATTATAATTATTATTATTATTGACTAACTATGATGATTATGATTTTATTTAAGTTTTATTTTAATTTAATTTTATTTTAATCATGACTTTTTCTCTATTAATTAATTAATTAATTATTGACTTTACGCATTTGATGAAAAATAAAAGATCTGTTTTAATTATTATTATTATTGTTATTAAATAATGCGGATTAAATGAATTATTTAGGACTGATCTACTTCTGAGATTACTTCATGACATTATACTATATATATATATATGTATATTATTATTATAGTTATTATTATTATTGTTATTAATAATAATAATGATGATAAGGTTAATATTAATATTAATAATATTAAAACTAGTTATTATAGATGTAACAATAACAACAACAACAATAATAATAATAATAAGAAGAAGAAGAAGAAGAAGAAGAGGTGGAATAATATAAATAACAATGAGAACAATAAGAAATAATTTTTACACATTCCCGCCAGAATCAGGAAGTCCAGACTGGAGAAGCAGAAGCTGGTGGCCTGCAGCTTGGACGACGACATCAACAACATCAACAACGAACTCGACAAGTTAACTCACGAGGAGAAATTAGTTAGTTGAGTTTGGCTGGGGGGGAAATTATTATGACGATGATGATGACGACGACGATGATGACTATGATGATGGTGTTATGACAATGAAGACCATGATGATGATGATGATGATGATGATGATGATGATGATGATGATGATGATGATGATGATGATGATGATGATGATGATGATGATGTAACAACGATGATGATGTAACAACGATGATGATGATGGTGATGATGATGGTGATGATGATG